CGCCGTCATGGATGCTGTTGAGCATCTGCCGCAACTTCGACCCGCAGCTGCGCAGCACCTCCACCACGACATCGCCACGCTCCGTGCACGACACCGTGGCGGGGCGCGTGCTGACGCCCTCCGCTGCGCCGCCCCCCTCGCCAGCAGCAAGCTTCGCCGCGAGGTTTTGCACACCCGCGTCCACGTCGACGAGCAGCTGGCCAAGGACCTCCTGTACCCGCTGCGTCTCGTCTAGTTCGTTCTGGCGGTCGCAGAGGTGAGCGTCAAACTCCTCCAGCACACGGCGGCGCACCAACGCCCGCTGCTCCACCACACCGGCCAGCGACAAATTTCCCTCAGCACTCGTCACGGTGTCCTCGTCGTTCTCACCGGTCTTCTGCGGCTGCACCGGTTTCGGCCCGCCGTTCTGCTGCTGGAGGTCGTCCCACTCCACCTGCAGCTTTTCCCGCTCCTCCTTCAGCGCGGCGTCAATGCGCTCCGCCTCGTCAACGGTACACTGCAGTTGAAAATTCGCGTCACGGCGCTCGCGCAGCTTGGAGAGGACCTCAGCGACGTTGTTGCTCATCGTCATCTCCTTCAGCCGGTTGTACGACTCTCGCTGCTGCTGCTGCCGCTCCAACTCCTCTGGCTGAAGCTGTTTCTGCGGGTTCGCGCGAATCTTCTTCTTTTGGGTACTGACAAGTGCGGCGCGTGCACGGAGACGACGTTTCTCGTCTCTCTCAATCTTGTCACGAAGGTGCCGTGACTTTCGTTCCAGCTGCTCCCGTTTCGTGATCACAAACGCGTGCCGCTCTTCAATATCCTTCTTCTGCGCCCGCCGCTCCTTTGTAAGCTGCGCCTTGAGCAGCAGCACCTCCGCCTTGGCCGCGTCCCGCCCCTTCGCCGCATCACCCGCCACACTGCTTAAATCCACCAGGTCCTTTTCCTTGTTCTGCAGCGTCTTCTCCATTGCGGTGAGCTGCGTGTCAAAGGCGGACTGCTCCTGCTGCAACCGCTCCAGCAGCGTCTCGTACGTGCGGCGTATAGCGTTCACCTCATTGTGCTTGATAAGGCACTTGTCGAGGCGGTTCTCCAGCGCGCGAATCTTCTGCCCAACAGCGGAGCTCTCATCAATCGTGGCGCTGCCCTCCTTCATAATGAAGTTCGTCTCCTCTATCGTGCGCTCAATCTCATGCTCGAGATCCTCCTTCTTGCCGCGAACGCTGTTCAAGCTGCGCTTCAGCACGCACAGCTTGTTGTGCAACTGATCCTCCTCCCTCCGGAAGTACTCATCGCTTGTGATGCGCCGCTGCCCACGGACGGCCTGCCGAAGCGCAACATTGAGCTGGGTGTTCTCGAGCCGCAGGTTCGTCAGTGTCTCCTTGTTGCGGCGTATCTCCCCGTTGATGAGGTCCAGTTGCGTGCGCTGCCCCACATCAATCACCGACTGCTTCTTCTTCAGCACACGTGGGTCGCTGTCGAACATTACGTTTTCCCACAGAGAGGCGCCCCCTTCTGTCCCTTCCTAGTGCACCTGTTGGTTACGGCAATGAGCGCCACTTTCTCCCAGTCTCCCTTATCCCCACTTATGCTGCCAATATACCACTCAAAAGCTTTTCGCAAGCGCCCCGTTCTCTCGCTTACCCCTTTTTCCCCTACTGCGCTGCGGGGCTTTCTCTCTCTCTCTCTCTCTCTCGCTCTGTGTGGTGCAACAGGGGCAGAAAAGAAGATCAAAACGAAACGAAGAAGAGATAGCGGCATGAATACTCATCAGATGTGGGCACAACAGGCTGGAGTGGTCATCGACAAGCGCACATAGCTTCATGCATCAGCACCAGCGGTGGCCACAGTGGCATCAGCAGAACCAAAAAGAACGCTGACAACAAACAACAACATACAGCACAGAGGCAGAATAGTCTGCGACCGTGAAGGAACGGAGACGGAGTGGCCCCGTGTGCACAGCTGCCCGGAGAGAGTCTGAGAGGCCGAGAAAACAACAACAACAACAACAACAACATGAGGGACCATACAAAAAAGAAAAATAATGGAAGCTCCTCACGCCATCTCAGCCGCAGGTCTCCCTCCCTCCCTCTCTCTCTCTCTCTCTCCGTCTGCGTCCAGGTGTATGTGTGTTCTGCGGTTTGCAAGCAGCCGCCACCCCCCCCTCCCCGGGGAGGGGTCTCTGGGAGCGCGTATAAACAACAGGGGGGTGGGGGACTAAGGAAAACAACACAACACAGCAACAACTACACTGGTAGCAGCAGCAGCAGCAGCAGCAACAACGTAATCATCATCAGCCCCCAAAAAACAAAACAAAAAAAAAAACTCACAATTAGGAGGCAAACGAGATGCACAAACCTACATGAACACTGCGTGCTTACTCCTTTTTGTCATCCATGAACCACTTTGCCGTCTTTTTTCTTTACCATTTTCTGTTTGAACTCACTTTTTCTGCACTTCTCGCCTCCTGCAGGGATCTGCGAGGAGCGGCGCAGTGTCAAGGTGTCCCATGCGTGTCTCTCTCTCTCTCTCTCTGTGTGTGTGTGTGTGTGTGTGGCATCACCACGGGAGCTGTATCCACACCGCCAGCAGCGTCTCCCACGCAAAGTATAGAGCGTCAACGTCGCCACCAAGAGGCGGATCAACCATCATGAGGGAGAAACCGAGACGTTCCTCGATGAAGGGCTCTACTGCTGTTGCTGTTGTTGCTGCTTCCGCAACCGTCGAGGCAACCGGCATCAACGCTGTCTCGTCCGTCGCCATCGCACCGAGGTCACTACCAGCAACACCACCAATAGAGGCAGCAGCAGAGGTACCAACGCCATTAGCAGAGCTGCCCCCGCTAGTGTAGAGCAGTACCCACGCGGAGTAGACGATTAGCAGAACGTTCACCAACCAGATATCCCACCCCGGGCCCCACAATTGCCACCACAGCGTAAGATTCACCGCGCACAACTCTCGAACCCACTCCACAAAGGCACCAACAGAGCGCAGCTTCGGTGTGTACCAGCGTCGGATGGAGGCCTCACGACGTGCCGCACTCACGGCAACGTGTACAACACTGTCGTACCACGCCTTCGCCAAGTTCTTCACAGGTGACGCTACCGTCACCCAGAACTCCTGCCACGCCCGCCACCACTTCATCGTAAGCGATGTCCCTTCGGCAGCGGCAGGAAGAACTGTGGTGCCACCGAAATCCAACGCGGCGAGGTGCGTGACAAGCAAGAAGGGCCCAACGAAGAGCATCTTTATCGTCACCAGCACAAGGCTCAGGAACGATACGATGATGGAGAAGAACGTCCACAGCAGGTCGAACACTAGCGCAAAGGGTGTCTGCAGCAGGCGCCCAATGAGACGCAGCGGGAATAGAATGATTTCCAGCACATAGAACTGCGATAAAAAGCTTGTGAAGGATGTGACCACTGTCAAACAGACCGACAGAATGTACGTTACCAACATCGACACACGCAACGTAACGCGGTGCTCTACCCACTCCAGAAGAGGTGCTAGCGTTGTAGACACAAATGCCTTCATCTGTGGCAGGTGCTTGTAGAGATCATATAGCCCCACGAATAATGAAATAACGGGCCAGATATTCACGAGCCCCACGAATGTTAGCCGAAACACACGGCGGTACGGCAAACCAGTAGATGCAAGGAACACAGTCCATGACGGCATTCCCGTCTCATACATAGACAACATACGGCGCTGCTCTCTGAGAGACGCGGTGTAGGGGTGAGTGCCAGGCTCTGGCATCAGCAGCTCCCGCAACACAGCGTTGAAGTTGGGGTCCTCCGAGTAGACTGTCACGATAGTGTCAAAATGCACAGTAGTCGGCGTCGACATGACGCGGTGACGGAGGAAAGGAGTCTCGCCCAGCGCAACACGGCGCAAGGGCGCCACTGGCGAAATAGTGAGATGAGATGTGGATTGCAGCTTCTGTTTCCGTCTCTGCATGAGTTCAGGTGATTTGCAGCGGGGTGCCTGGATCTCTACGACAGGGAAACGCACCCCCCTCATCGCCTGCTCCACATCCCACTCGTCTGCACCAAGAACATTGTCCGGTGATTCCGTTGCCGCATCATTTTGCGGGGACGCAGATGACTCTCTGTCATTTTTTCCCAGGTGCGACACTTCTGTTGCTGCTTCCGTCTCCACTGGCCCAGCCGTGCTAATCAAGTGATCAAGAGCGAAGGAACATGAACTACCACTCTTTATGGTCTGGTCTGGCCGCACCTGGGGCGTGATGTTCGTCACCCCTCGTTCAATCTGTTCTTCAATGCGGTCCAGATCTTCCAGCGAGTCGTAGTACGCACACGCCGCCTCCATCGAGACAAAGAAGTATGCGTACACTGCCTTGGTCTCAATTGCAAAGCGACTCGACAGCAGACGCGGACTGTAGTCAAGCGCAGTAACATCTTCGTGCCGCACTTCCACCACTTCCACACCGCTGCCACTACGCGATAAATTGCCGCCGCCCCGTCTGGCGACGGGCGATAGCGGCCGCGCTGATGGCGACAACAACTCATGCGGTGCCTGCGCCGGGCTAACGGCGGTCGGCTGCTTCAGCAGTTTCCCCTTCTTGTACGCAAAGGCCGGTGGGGGGCCAAAGACGCGGTCGCGGAGACCGCCCCACATTCCCACCGTCTCGCCCTCCGCCTTGCGCTCAACAGGGCTGATCACAAACACGAAACGGTCGCGCGGCCGGGCGCTGTGCAGCCACCGCACGGCGTGCCCGACCGTCTCCCCCTTTTCCAAGCGGCGGTGACTAAAGTAGTCCCACCCACCGGCCACCGTCCGCCAGCCACTGAGCGCGAGGTAGTGCAGCAGCACCGGCGGCTGTTCCTCAATGCCATCGGGGTAAAAGACGCTTGTGTGGTGTGGGACCGTCGTTATTGACGGTGCTGAGCGCGATGAGGCGACTGAAGTGGCACGCAAGGCTGCCTCACCCGACAGAGACTGTGAGACAGAGCACTCCTTTTTCTCCTGCTGCAACCGGCGGGACGGGGTAGTTGCGGTAGGAATAGGTGTCGTTTCACGCTTCACCTCGTCCCACTGTGCGCAGGCAGCACGACAGATGCTCTCACGAAGTACCACACGTTTTTTTTGTTGCAGCCACATCGGCACCTCCTTCTCTTCACCGTCCATGGCGCGTGGGCCTCGCACCTCTTCCTCCGTCTCAGGGCCACCATTATAGAGTACTGATCCATATAGCGTGGAGGCAGATGCCTCTTCTGCGTGTCCCCACACCGAACCAGCATCTCCACTTTGCTTTGCATCGGTGCACCCAAGATCCCCGGAGATCACATGCGGCTTCAGTGACACGTCGCTGCTGCTGTTGAATGACGACGGCTCTGAACTCTGTGTTGGAACATCTATGAGGTTCCACTTTGGGCTCGCATTCTTATCAGTTGGTAAGGGTTTGGACGCAGTGTGACCACATGAAGCTTCCAATGGCGCGAAGTGAAGATCGGCGTCTTCGCCGCGTAACAACTGTGCGTGCATCAAGCCCTGGCCACAGTTATTTCCTTTCCCTCTCTTTTCCTTTTTTTTTTTT